GACCGCGCCGAAGTAGGAAGAAAACACCACTTTAATTTTATTTTTTTGGGTGAAAGAATACGAACCTCCGCAAACTAGCGTCTAATTATTAGAATCCTTAAGTCACTTATTTGCCTGGTAAAGAAAATTCGTTTCGCTCGCCTCTTTCGGCACGTATTGATCTGCTCAATCGTGTCTTTTCTTTTCTAATAATATTCTGAAAATAAATTTATGATGCCGCTGAAACCACTATGCGCCCGCCTGTCGCCCACCACCACGCCTACCCTAATCCCTCTTTTTATTTTAAGTTTTGACCGCGTAATTAACAGGATTTTATGATTATAATCTTATACAAATAACGCAAAAAAAAATACATCACGTCTAAAGATAAGAAGTGAAATACGTTCGTCGTTACTCTCGCAATGACTTCCACGATCACCTTAATAGCGGCAATTTCTATGGCTGATCTCGAATTTTCCTTATTTAAAGGCCTTTCGATTGACGGGATAAACTAAATGACATTATATCCAAAAAGAGATGGATTTTCTTACATACGGCTAGATTGTTTCTTTTCTTAATAATGTTTTTGTTTCAAATGGTATAGTTACCGCCGAAGACGTTTCTTTAAAAATTTTATAAAAACATATAATGAAAATTCAGAAACGAAATGTCGTAACTTTCATATAATTCTGTAAAAATCATATACACGATATAATTTGCGCTTCAGATGCAGTGCCAAGTCCTACACCTACATTTTATTTTCTTTTCGTTTTCGAAGAAACGAAGTAGGCTTTCAGAGAACGCTTGTTTAAATTAAATTAAATATCATGATAATGCTCATGTAAGAACTTGAACCCATTTGACTGGACTACAAGAATAAATACAATATAAATATTATTTTATGAAAATCCTGCTTTCCTTGCTTTAAAAATATTAGTTAATATTACGATTTACATACATACGTTAGTCATAAGTAATAACTGTCACCAGCAGAATTTACTGCCTCCGGTGAATATATTTTGTGCGAGTTAATAAGTTTGAGACTTAAACGATGCAGGTTATGTTACAGAGAATTATAAAGCTGCTCTTATTGTGGCACATATGCTATCAATGTATCTACTGATGAGTAAATAGCAGTTAAGTATACAAGTTATTAGCTCTAGTCCCGTGTTTTTTTATTAATTAACGGCCTATGATGTTTCTTCCCATAAGTGTAAGAATTTTCAATGTCCTCTATACTAATACTAATATTATAAAGCTGAAGAGTTTCTTTGTTTGAACGCGCTAACCTAATAAACTACTAGTTCGAATTGAAAAATTCTTTTTGTGTTGAATAGACCATTTATCGAGGAAGGCTTTAGGCTATATAACATCACGCTGCAACTATTAGGAGCGAAGAAATAATGGAAAACGCGGACGAAGTCGCTGGCGGCCACTAGTGAATTTATATGTACGAAAAAACATACAGCATTTGCAATGCTAATTGTAGCTGACATTGAAAATGTATTAATTTCCGGGAAGGTAAAGTTTTTGTTTTAATATTGAGAGTAAAACAGTATAAGCCATACCATATTTCTCGTTGTATACAATGTCGAATTTCCATTTATAACATTTGTACATTATTTATTATTGATTATGCATCAAATTGTTACCACTCTTACAGTATAATGTATAAATAATGTCCTGCATTTTCGCAAAGTAAGAAGGTAGCAAAAAATATTTTCTTTCTCTTTATTTGGGGTACAAACAGTTATTACAATTAAGTGAACAAGACATTTTATATTAAAGCTTATAAAGACAAATAGTACCCAAAATTTGCTACAAAATATTAGCATTATTAATATGCCGTTAGTAGAAAACGCCAAATTTAGAAATATATTTATTTCCCATTTATTTAATGGTTTTAAGAAGGCCGCGTCTTCAATTTCCATTTAATTGATTTCGACGTAAATTGAATAAGATTCAGCCCTTCAGCGGGTGAAACTGTCTTTTCAATTAAGTACAGTTATTTTTCATTGTAATATTGTTTATTTTGTAATTTAAAACGCAATGAACCTATCTATTACAATTACTATAAAAGATCTCAATTAAGTAAAGGCCATAAAATTTTTGCCTATTGTAATTTGACATTACTTGGAGTAGGTAAATGAATATCCAATTTATAACTATCATAAGATAAATGAATTAATGTGTTCTATTTAAAAACAATGTTAAATATTACTAATAAAAATTATCACGCATTAGGTCGTCTCGATTCAAAAGTAGTTTATTTGAGAAAAAAAGTAGTATTTTTTTTTATTCGACTTGACTTCGCCACTATCTTTATAATATACGCTACTATATCACCGCTTATTTTGATTCGCCTTCGTCTCTTGGAAAATATTTCTTCAAAAAGGTATATCACCATGCAAACTTGGTTCTTAAAATTTTTTTAAAGGCAATCTTTGGTTAACTATCATATATTGCATTAGAGTATTTGTTCTGTCTTATTATGGTCTTACAAAATAATCTGAGCTTAAATATTAGAATTTCATGACTTTCATTTTGCCATTTTATTGGTTGCATTAAAAATTATATATAGTGTTCATAAATCGTATCGACCGACTGTACAATAAGTATCAAAATGTAAACTCCTAAAACTTAAATGAAGTTAGCCATTATTATGTAAGTAATTAATGTATTCAGTTCGCCGACGTTTTTCACCACAAAGGCGCTTGTTAATTTTTCAGTACGACGAGTGGGTATCTAATTAATCAAGCCGTGCTATGCAATTTTTATACATTCAAAGAAATTTTGCTCGAGAAAAAGATTTCGAGTATTTGAATGTTACAAAATGTCAAATCTTTAGTAAAGATGTTTTTGTACTACGTCACTTAAAACATGTTATAAAGCAGTGTTTTTTATGTTATTATAAATAAATATTATAAAGAAGAAAAATTTGATTATTTGTTTTTTTTATCGAATAGGCTCCAATACTTCTGGACTTATTTTAAAAATTCTTTAGCCTACAATTTACGCGGGAAACTACGCGGGAAAACATCTATTTTATATTATATGTCTGTCTCCATGTATATGACGCTGACAGTACATAAGGGTTTACGATAACTTGATATAATTTGATTAACCTATGATTTATGGCACTTTTAAGATGTGCATCAAGTTAACAGGGACGAATTGATGGTCTTATGTATCGCAGAAAAACATGACTAAATAGAAATAGTGCTACTATAAATTAAGAGACACTGGAATATCTTAGTAAGCCTGCTGGCTTGACGTCTAACTTTCGATTCCGATAAGATTCGTATTAATTCAAATTACATGTCAAAAAATTGTGACTTGTGACTAAATAGTGACTTCTATACTACGAACTTTCTAAGATATTCCAATATCTCTTAATTTACACTGTTCACTATTTATATGTTATATATCACTATTTTGCAATTTTTTATATACATATATTGTAAATGCAAAATTAATCACATATAATAATACATATACCTTCAAAATAGTTAATGGGCCTGCTAACTTAACTTACGTAATATTTACAAAAGTAATCTTTACTAACCATAAGTCAAATGTATTTAAAAAATATTTGAATTTAATATATATAAATGTTCTCATAAAATATAAGAAAATGTATCCAATAGTATCGCACTAAAGAAAGCTTTTCTCTTAATTAAAAAAAAACGACACCTTAGTCTTAAGTGAACACTGAACGGTGAAGGGTGGGAGACGTCATAAAAGCAAATACAAACGCGCTGAAACCGTTTAAAGTTGTTTTAATTAATGAATAGTGCGCGTGAAAATAAGAAATCAGTACGTATTTTTTTATTTTTACCTAATCAATAAATTATGACGATACATCGTGTTGAAATGTCGCATGACGTCACAAATGTCTACATAGGTAGTTGTGACGTAGCGAGCCCCCACAGTAGTAATATAATGAGATTAGTTTTCTAAACAAATAGTTCTACGATATAGGCACAAATATTGAATTTGATCGATATCGATACAAAGAACTTTGTTTGCACATAATATTGACAGTGGAGCGTTCGCATACTGTCGAAGAGATAGTTCTATATTATATTGACTCAATGCTTATGATTACGGCGAGGATCTCTAGTTTTATCAAATACTAGCTTTCTGCCTGCGGCTTCATCTGCGAGTACCTAGCGAACTGTGTATATAGATATCGATTAATTTTATAACACGGATATAATGACAATGACAAAACGACAGTAAACAATAGTTATATGGTAACGTTTTAATTCCCTTTAACTCCCACTCCATTTTTATCCCTTTATTTGATGTATTCGGGATAAAAATATAGCCTATGTTCATCGTACATGACGTAGCTTTCTGTAGGTGAATAATTTTTAAATCGATCCAGTAATTCAATACAAACACACAATCAAATTTTTACTCTTTATAATATTAGTTAAGACCAGGGGTGGCCAACTTGTTTAGACCCAAGATCGATTTTTCACTATCGACACCTAATACGATCTACCAATTTCTTTACTTCTTAAAATCTCAAATGAAACAGCATAGTTCGTACACTATGTATTTATTTATTTACACACACTCACTGTATGCCCAAGGTCACTGCTGTTTAATATCCCCTTAAAGATTTATGCATCAAAAACTTCTAATCTATTAAGGACAAAAGCATTCTATTTTCTGGGATTTTTTGGTTGAACTCCGATAATGTAAAAACAATGATTGGATATAAACACCTGTAACAACTAACAACAATGAGATCAATCTAAATAGTAATTGAAGCTTGAAGCAGGTGGCCGGTGTTATTTAGACAACATTTACAAATTATCGGTATTTGTTACACTGTTTTATAACAACTGAATAAATTTTATTATTATTTTAAATTTCCTTTTAATGAAATAGGTGAAAATTGACTTTCTCCCTGCCTTGAATCCGACTTTGACTACTGTGCATAAAATTTTGAATAAACAAATGCAGAATATATATTTCTATCAGTTCAATCTGGTTCTATGTTTGTTCAGGAAAACCTATAAAAACTATACCTATAGATTTTCTATCTATATTCTCACGCCGTATCTCTAGACCTTTAATTTTGAAATCACTTTTTATTTGATTGAACTTCTTTGCTATTAAAATGTTTAATTTGAGTTTGAGGCTGTTATTATAAAAGAATAGCACTACAGGATGTTTATCTAGGTTATACAATTTCCAATAAACAAATAAAGCAGTTATACATCATCCCCTTCTCAAAGCTACAAAACTTATAGAAGATATGAATTTATTCGCAGCCGAGCCTCCTCCCCTAGTGAACGTGACGGTGCATGCGTCCACTATCCTCGCGTTGATCCTGTGGAACGTGGCGGGTGATGGTGGACATCCCATTATAGACTTCACGGCGCAGTACCGCTCCGCCGCACCGGTCAACGGCTCCTTGGAACCGTGGCGCCCGATCAGTCCCAACCACATCAGTCCTAACTCGGTAAAACTAATAGTGCTACTAGACGACCGGATCTGTTCACACCGTACAGAAAAAAATGGTTTGGCACAAGCAATAATAATGTCCGATGGACGGTCCTCCACACGACTGAAATGGTTTGGTGACATTGTTATTGCTTGTACCAAACAAAGTTCGCCATACGGAGCGGACAGATCCGATCGTCTATTAGCACTATTAAGATACACAGTACACTAAACGGCAGCGGTTCAATTCAGTAATTATCTTGCCATTTAAATTTGACCTCACCTTGATAAAAATATTCACTTAAGTAATTACTCTTGCTCGACTATAGATACGGATTCTGCTTCAGTCAACTTTACATTACTTCAATGCGATTGAACTAACGCCAGTAATTACATAGTGATCGGTGGCGGTTTCAGCGGCAAGTAGACGTGTACCACTTGGAGCCCAACGCGTCGTACTGGTTCCGAGTTTGGGCCACTAACGTGCTGGGTCCGGGCCCACCGGTAGAGGTTCTGGCCACTACCTTATACAGCGATCAGGAAGCCGGTATGTGACATTTTCCCTTTATCATGTTTTGATCTCCTAGATTATGTTAATTACAGATAAATTAATTATATTACCTCTATAAATCAATCACAAGTCGTCTATTATTTTTTTATTCAAACCAAAGCAAAAAAAAATAATTATTAGGCGACACTCGATAATCAAATATAATTTCGTTTTTGACACAGAAACGAATAAATGTTATGCGAATACGATAATTAATTTATAATTATGTTACGTAATTTAAAATTAATCTTATTTTAATATCAGGCCCCACGTTGGGCGCCATTAAAATACATCACATGTTTTTCTGGCCTTCTGAAAAATACCATCGCGGTATAAATACATACAATTATTATTAAAAGTTTATGTTGTCTCTTCCCCTAACAGCTTGTCATGTTGTTTGTGCCATTAAAAATCGACGCAATCGCGTGATATGAGGCAGTGAAATTACTGTTTGGGGGAGGTAAACAGATAATCAAAATCAGCTAAATTATATAGTGCCACCTAATAAGGCCTCCTGTATTTACCCACTGGAGTGGAGATCAGTGAGGATGAAGAAGCGTAATTTAGAACCATTTCGGTTTGGTTTCATAGCAAACAGTGGTTCTTATTAGACAAACAAACCTTGATTTGTTTTAAAATTACCTGGTCATTAACACTAGAATAATTTACCTATTAAATCGGACCACTACCATGTAACTTTTATAGATTTGCTGTTATTTCAGCGCTGTCGCAAGCGCCATGATAACGAAGTAACTGAAGTTTATGCGGGTGGGTGTTATTGACAGATAAGTTATTTCGACTGTACGTCACTACATACCAGTGGTCAGGGTCAAAAAGTGTTGTTTCGCGATCAGATACAGTGAGTGTTGTGTGTCGAAAACAGCCCTGTGGTTTTGGAAAATCTAAACCCAAATTCGAATTCACTTCAAAAAACGGCATCCGCTCAACCTTGAACTGCTAATAGCGTTTCGTGGCATAAATAAAGTGAGTTCCGAAATGACAGGAATAGAATATTTGAGACAGGTATATTCAATAAATTTTGTTATGTATTTTTTACAAACAAATGGAATTAATAGATTTTCTACAATAAGTGACGTGATTCGGACACATGAGTAAATTTGAATTCGGGTCTGGATATTTACAGAATCGCAAGGCAGATAGATACAGTGAGTGTTGTGTGTCGAGAACAGGTGCGACATTGTGGTGACATAACGAACGTTGCTGCGGGTATCAAAATTAAAAGTACTCGAAAGAAGGTAGATTGACATATCTGCCAATAACATCTACCCGCATTAAAAACTTCAGTTACTCCGTGACCGTACTGCGTGCGACAGTTCCGAAATGTCGTGAACTCGATAGAAATAAGTTGCATTAACTCTGAGAGTATATTGGTCGCGTGTGCGGTCCGCAGAGCTGTACAAGCACTTCCTGGAGGGGTCCGAGTCGTTCGACACGCGCACGTGGGTGGCGGCCGTGTGCGTGGTGATGGGCACGCTGCTCGTGCTCGCGGCCGGCACGTGCGCGGTGCTCTGTCGCGAGTGGCGTCGGCCCGGTGAGAACACGCCGCCTCACATCTAGCGACCGCTGCCCCGTCTGTACTTCCTGTGGCGATACTGATCCATGACAGACAGACGGACACAAACCAGCGACACCGATCGCTAATAACGGAACACTCGTACCGTTCCGAAGACATTAATGTGTGAAATTATGCATCTCCTTGGAGACTTAAACATCTTCGATATCCTTACACACAGAACTTTCATTAAAGCTCATAGGTCGTTTGTACAAACAACCTTTAATGCATTATTAATGTTAATCTTAAGAATTTGAAAGACATTGAAAATCTTTAGGATTTTATATAAATATCTGTAGAACCTTTCGATCTTCAATGGTACCATCAGAATTTAATAACAATATCCAGGGAACTTTCAAAGCTTTATGAAGAGTTAAACATTAATGGTCGTTTTTTTTAGGATGCTCTTAAGTTTACTTAGAGCCTTCTAAAGATTAGAATTATTTCGTTCCTGTTTAATAACATCGATGTGATCTTTGGGGTCTTATTTAGACTTCCAAAGCATCTAAAGCAGAAATCACTTGTAATACAATAGTATTATAACCACCCAACGTGTCCTATAAAGACATCATGGTCTAAACACATCAGTTTAATTGCTTGGGGATTATTACATAAACGTCACAATTGTAGTGACAATTTAACCTGCCTTTAAAGATGAACGATCGATTCTGATTCTGATTAATGACTACTATATGACTAAGAAATGTTTTCCAACATGTCGGTGTTGTTCTAATTTAAAATATTGTAGGATTTCGGAAGTAGTTTTGCTTCACTTACAAATTATTTTAAGACGGGTGCACACAAAAGTGTCTCTGGTTAGAAATTTCAAAATTATTTTAAGTTATACTGTAAGTATATACATTGGCAACCGTAGCACATAGTAGTGGCTGGGATAATTAAACACTCGGTGCTTTTGAATATAGCTCAAATAGATATTTAGTCTTCCAACTATTCATTAGCTTCCAAATTTTTATGGTTAATCGCGATTCCATTATAAAAATGACATTAATTTATAATTTTCACTATTGACAAATATCACATCTTTAAGTTAAATAATTGTAGCATAATGTATTTAAATTTGGATTACATTTGCATATGCATATATTCATGTTTCGTAAGCGACATGTAAGGGATATAAACACTGTACTAAAACGAGTTTTAAATAGAATACTCTAAGGAGTAACGTTGGAGCATTCGTCATATGTGAGGACATAGGGTCAATCCATGTAATGAGAGTAAATATAACGATTAAACTACTAGCTTTCCGCCTGCGGTTTCGCCCGCGTGGTTTTGTATTATACATAAAAACCTTCCTTTTGAATCACCCTATCTATGAAAAAAAAAGTATCAAAATCCGTTGCGTAGTTTTAAATATTTAAGCATACATAGGGTTATAGGGACAAAAAGAGCGACTTTGTCAAACCTTTAAGATGTGTAAAGTAAGCGTTTATATGATCAGTAGTCTCGCTTTTAGTATACCCAGCTTTAGAATTTTACGATAAATAATGTAGACTTAAATAGGGTAATATAAGAAAGAAAAAATTACTATTTCTAAGCCACCAAAATATTTAGCCCAAAAATATATGTGCATACTTACGCTTTAATTGATATTTAAATAAAGTAATAATAAAAACTCTTTTGATGTATTACATACTAAAATTATTCAAAATAAATAGGTTTCATTAGAATTAAGAAATTAGAAAGTTTCATGACTCGAATTTACCGATAAACTTATTTTTAAAGAATGCTTTTAACTTAGTAAATCTTCGCAATAAATTAAAATTATTCCCTAAAACAACTAATGATTTATAACATGTACAGTATTTTTTGCCTATAGTCACCAATTACCTAGAGTTACCAATTTCCAGTCAATAATATATTTCCCAGTTAATTAATTGTCAAATCACTTGATTTAAATATACTTCAGTCAAAATAAAGAAATAAGTTGTTATTCACAGTGCTATATTGGTAAATATTTTTAATTAAAAATGCTTAAAAACTCCCAGGCGTCCAGGAACCCTGAGATTGTTTTTTTTATTGTTTTTCATTAAAAAACGAATAGTAGTTACCAATTAATTCATTGATAATCACATAGAAATTTGATAATCAAATTTCTTGAATAAAAGAGGCTTATGCTACAAATCAAAGTTACAATAGCAGCCTCAATGAAAAGAATAATACAAATCCAAAAAAGCTGCTAGCTGTATTATTATTAAATTATTATATATATAAGTGCCAACAATAAAAAAAAATTACTATAAAGGATGGTCATCGTTTACTAGCACGAGAACATTACAAAGTAAAGCTCAAGTCAATTTAATTCTTATTTTGATGGAATTTAAACTCACACTTGATTGTAATAATTAATAAGGTTGTGAAAGATCAAAATGTTGAATAAAACAAAGTATTAAAATAGTTAGCGCTTACTAATGATTTTTAAGAAGTATTCCAGTAGTAATTATAAAATAATTAGATCATTCCATATAACACTTTATGCCATTGGTGCTATTGCATTGATTAGGTTAGAATGTATTTATAAGCTGATACCAAAAAGCATTATTTTCTTTGCAGTCGCACAATATTACTTCTCTGATATTGGATGAATTATCGTAAAAATATTATTGTTAAGTGTTTAGTTAGAAACATTGTTGAAAAGTGCCTGAAGCATTTATTCGTTATAAAATGCATATTACAGCCAAATAATCTAATATCTTCCGTTTGATAAAATTATTACTTAATTTTTTTTTATTAAATTCTATGAACTTTTCATTGTGCTTATACACATATAATATTGTACGATGTTGTTTTTGTGACACATGTCTTATAAAACCCGCAGTGGCACGGCGTGAGGTGCAAAATGCCTCGGGCCTCGGGCTTCAAAGACGAAATAAATTAAAATGTTTCAAAATCTAATTATAAATGTCGGAAACTTCGTTATTAATCAAAATGCAGTAATCGGAAGGAACGTAATTATTTACTTCTTTTATTCAATAACTAACGGTTTTCCAGCGACTCTGCCCGAGTTATATTATAGCCTATGTCAACCGCATGTGATAGTATAGATCAACCACGCCAAAATGCCTCTTCTTAAGCCTCATTAAGTCTAGATAAAGGATACACTTAGCGGCAGCGATTTAGAACTTAACCTGCGATAGATAGGCTAAGTTCAATATATCAAAATAGATTGAAAAAGAAAATCGATGGTTTTCAATAACTCACTTTGTTTTGTACGTTCTTTCTCTATTAGACTTGATAAGGGTAGCAGAGTGGCATTTAAATAAAAATAATCTTAGGATTGAAAAAAATCATACAAAAGCTTTAAGTTTTTTTTTTATCTTTGCACTTTGTTGGTGACTGAATAGATCGCAATAGCATTTTTAACAATCAATAAGTTATGGACCAAATATTGATAACTACAGGACGTCAATTAATATAATAGAGTAATTATAAATAACCGAACTATATAGAATTGGTTATATGACTTCTATCTGAAAATCGCTTCCTATCTAAATGCCTTACGATCTTATGATGAACTACTTAGATTTAATATAAAGTTTTTCATGGATCATTTAATCTAATATTAATTAATGCTATAGTGAAAATAAAGTGTGCTAGTTTGGCTCATAGTAATGTTGATGAAAGTTAATTAGTAGGTAATCATTCTTATTGAAAGCAATAAAACATCTACTAGATATTTTCAGCCTTATTCCCTCATAATTGAGCTGATTATATCAATAAGACCCTTATTGAAAATAATTTTATGTTCTATTGTAATAAGATAAATATCTTATCAGAAGTCATTCCTGCTGTTTGAATTGATTTTAAAGTGCACATATTGACCAGATGAGACGATTTAAAGCCTTGGAGAGATCGAGTTGTGGTGGTTATAATCGCAATAAAGATATATATCCTGATTGCTACCAAAATGAAGACATAGTGTTACATGAAGTACAATTTTATTTGTTTTCTAGGTTATGATAGAGCTAAAATAAATTTATATAAAAATTAGCAATAAAAATTGCAAATTTACAATAATAAACAATTATTGAACTAAGAAAAATAGTTGGCTTATAATCTTCCATAATTATTAGAAATTTATATTAACAATTAAAGCTTCTTTGTAAGCTATTATAGTGAGTATTATAACGTGTAGTGTACGATTACTTCTTGCCTTTTCAATGTTACGGTACGTATTTACCATTTCGTAGGGTATTTAATTATGGTTACTTTGGTAACTGCTACATTTTTCTTCAGCATTATAGCAATAATTATAACATTTTATAAAGTCGTTACTTAGGACGAGACATTTATAGCGCTCTAATCAATGCTTAAGTCCAAGTATATTTAAAGCTTTACAATAATAATAAATTTTGACAAAATATATTAAATTAATGTATTATACTTATACTACTATAATTAGTTTAGAAAGTTCCTAGTGAATTAAAAATATTACATATTATAATAATCTATATTATATAATTACTAACTTCTCTCTTGTGATATCTTCAGGACCATATTGTTACTTGGACCACTTTGAAGTGATACAAAATATGTAACTATTATACCAAAAATCACTTAGCAATAATTTATCTCTTACTAATTATAACTATGTAGTTCTTATTATAATATTTTTTCGATATACAATATTTTTAAGCACAAGTTGCACTTCTTATAAACGCTATACGCACTTTAGTGTAAACAGACAGTATAACTTGAATTCACTGTATTTCTATAGTAATGGTTTTAATTTTGACAAAATATACATTTCCGTCGATTTTTTACTCTAAGAAAAACTGTAGTAAAGTCACAACTTATTAGCATATTTTTTATATTCTGAAAAGGTCAAACCCAAGAATTATAAAATTCTTTTTGGAAGTATTGAATTCCTAAAACAATGAAGAACTCTGATTGAAGAGCAGCTGTTACATTTTGTTTTGTTATTAATTGTGTAAAATTCGTGTATTTTTTTATCTTATTGATTTGGATTGGGAAATTAACTAATTTA